AAATAACACCGCTTGCTTGTGACAGACTTGTGTCTTCCAATCTTTGTGCTTGTCCTTGTTATTGCCTCCCCACAGACACACAAAGAGAAACGTATTTATATTTTGAAGAAGTAATGGTCTGTGGAATAGACTAAAGCAAATCAGCCGTGACTTTTCTATGAGCTAATGAAACAGTTCCTAAGAGACCAAAGAATTACAAAATGAGCTGGTTTTTAGGGATGTCATGGCTGGGTTAGAATAAAACCTCTCCAGGGGAAAAAGCTGAAGAATCGCTATTCTTTGACTCTAAAAGGCAAAGCAAGCTTCAGTCTTGATTTAGACTGCAAGAAAAATTTGCCCTGATGTTTTGAAGGTCTCGGAAGTGAAGATGTGTCTTGCTTCCTGAAGGTAGGATGTGTTTTTGTAGAAGACACTATCTTTCTTGTTGTTCTGCCAGCCTCCTGGGGGGGCAGCCGCAGCAGCAACCTGTCCCAGCAGAGCTAGAGTCGATGTGTAGCTTCTTGCTGGGTAAAACTGCACTGTGGACTTCAACCAAAAAAAAAAAAAACCAAACCACCCCCAATACTGAACAAAACCCCCAAAATCTACCAAAAAATCACCCTAGCAGCCCTAGCATAAGCATTCATTGTTCTTAGTTCAGTCTTCTGTTTAGTTTGTAACTTTTAGCAAATCACTGAACTGGTCTGTGCTTTAGTTTCCTCACTGTAAAATGAGGAGTAAAGGAGTGATAAACTTTATCTTTAGTGCAGGCATACTTTAGTAATTTAATTCCTGTTTGTAAAGTGTTCCATGATAATTTGATTTTAATAAAGTAATATTCCTCTATTATAAAATGAACCTCTGCAGGAATTTACAACAAACCTGCTGCTGTAGAGAGGGAGCTTTATCAGAAGATCTGTTTAAGGCAGTAGATAAGTCTTCAAAAATCTGTTTTGGAATCTGATAGTTCAGTGTTTATTTGGCAGCCCGTGTTCCAGATGCTCAATTATTAGGAATGAAGAGGCCATGGAGATGGTAATAAGAAATCTTGCCTAATCAGGATGATGAATCTTCGTTATGCTGGGAGATTGTGCATTCTTTCAGGCAAGCCAACCCAAACAAGCAGTACCGCCCTCCCCAAAATCTAGGACCACCATGTGTTTAGGAAGCTCTTATGTTTCCTGTATGTACCACTGGATCATTTCTGTGATCAGCAGCTGTTGCTGGCCGGACATCTGGACTTTGGTTTCAGAACCTCAGAAAATAAACTAGTTTTATGTTTTGAAGAGATAATGATCTGTGGAATGGACTAACGCAAATCAACAGTGACTTTCCTATGAACTAATGAAACAATTTCCAAGAGACCAAACAGTTATAGAGTGGTTGTTTTATTTACCAGTCCTCCATAGGAATCTGTCGGCTGCTCTGTTTCTCATCAGTGAGGAAGAAAGTCAGTATGCTGGTGGCATAAAAGCTGCTGGGCCATGATACACGTGCAGTGACACGGACAAACAGCAGATACGTGCAGCAACTGGAGGAGGAGATAAAAGAACCGTCCTTTCAATTGCAGTTGCGTCAGCCAAATCACAACCAGCTGGTTTATTGCATCGGGCATTTCTGCTGATCCACCAGAATGCTTACGCATGCTCTCTGCTTCGCGCATGCATACCATCGTATCAAAGGCTGGGCTGACTTTTGAGCGTTCTCATCCTGCCTCTGTTTTTAGCCACTGGTTTAGTTTAGGGATGATGTAGACCTGAGGTGCCTGGGGGAGGACTGAAACTGTGGGAGGGATGAGAGAAACTGTGACTCAGGAAATTCAGTTTCTCCCTTAGCCCTGCATGCAGCAATGAATGTGCAGACTATTATCCCTGCAATACTGAAACCTGTTTCCCTTGATCGTATTTTTTGGACACTGGAGAGGCCTCTGTGTTCTCTCGTTTGCTTTTTCTCCACTCGGAGCAATTTGTATTTCTAGAGGCATAGTTCAGAAGCAGTCCCTGTATGTACTTCACTGAACTCCAAGGCCAAATGCCCGTGCAGGGACAACCTCATCTTCAGTCAAAGACAAATCTCAGCTGGCTGACAATGCCGAGTTTTTTAGAGCTTGGGATTGTAGCTAGCCCACATGCCATTAGAGTTTGGACTGCAAAGTGAGGTCCTAGAAGCATCAAGGAAATGCCTGGTTTATGACTAATAAAATTTAATGGAGCCGTGTGAATATCCAGTGGTAAGCAAAAAATCGGACAAAATTGGACAAAAGCAAGGAATCTGATGTTTTGCAGCCGTGATTAAAACCATTAAATTTACCAGATACTGGCAATTTCTAATCTTTGTCATGGCATAACTGCTTTTTTTAAAAAAAAAAAAAAAAAAAAAAAAAAAAAAAAAAAAAAAAAAAATTTTTAGAGCTTGGGATTGTAGCTAGCCCACATGCCATTAGAGTTTGGACTGCAAAGTGAGGTCCTAGAAGCATCAAGGAAATGCCTGGTTTATGACTAATAAAATTTAATGGAGCCGTGTGAATATCCAGTGGTAAGCAAAAAATCGGACAAAATTGGACAAAAGCAAGGAATCTGATGTTTTGCAGCCGTGATTAAAACCATTAAATTTACCAGATACTGGCAATTTCTAATCTTTGTCATGGCATAACTGCTTTTTTTAAAAAAAAAAAAAAAAGTCAGACTAGAGTATAACCCAGAAATATATCTATAACATAGCTATATATACTTGAGCAGTAGTTCTGTAAAGGCTGTAAGGTTTCCCTATATTCCTCACCACTACCACTCTGTATGGCTGTCCTGATGATTTGTATACAAGCTCTAGCCAGAAGGAAATGGAGCAATATTTATCTGACTTTATTTATTCCTGTAAGATGCATCTTGGTAGTGAGGGATACAAATCTCTTATGATGTAGTGTGCAAACGTTGCAGAATTGAGTGAGGCTGGGTGCTCTTGCCCTTTCTGTTTCAGAGCTGCAGGAGACTTATCTAAGAGATCAAAGTGCATCAGATTCCATTATTTCAGTATCTATGGGACAGTATAACGCATGACTACGCTGGGATGATGCCTGTGTCTGACTTTTATTCATCGTCATAATTAAACCCAGATACAGAGTTTGTTTTGTGCACTGAACATTAATCACAACATTTTATTAACACGGTTGTTGAAATCTGTACTTCAGACATAGTATAATTTTGCAGTATAGATTAAGACCAGTATTTATTTTGCCTGAATAAATTAATTTTATTTAAAGTTCAGAAAGAGAAGTGATTGCTCTCAGGTTTTGAGCAAACAGGTGCAAGCATAGCTCAACTACAGATATACCAAACTGCTAAACTGGTTTGGTCTGTACTGTTGCTTAACAGAAAGCAGTTAACTGCTGTATTCAGTGGAAACTCTATAAAAGGCTCAGATGAGCAAACTAATGCTCTAAATTCAGATTTAGTTAAGACACCAAAATTAATATTTTAACACCTGTAGACTTTATTTCGTGCTCTATAATAGTACTTGCTTAATTGCCATTGCCAGTTTCTGATGTTTTGGGATTTCTCTTGGTTGTTTTCTGTTTAGGTATTAAGATTTGTATTGCAGTTGCATCCATGTATCTTCAATTTAGCTTATGAAATATGACTAAGTCATTGTTTTAGTGTTTGCTTCACAGAGTTCTGTAATGTTACATCTATATATTTGGAGACCTTGTCCCGTGGAGAGTGGCATCCTTGAAAGTATATTACCCTTCTTGGAAGGAAACAATATCACTTTTAAAATTCAAGCAAAAATACTTATTTTAAGTTAACTGTTAATTCTTTTCTAGGTTAGTGCTTTTTCACCTCTTAGTTCCTGGGTCTCTGAGCCTCTATGGGCTGTTTTTACAGTGCTCACAAGAGCTAATAAAATCCCATCTCTAGTCACTAAACTGAGAATACAGGTCCACACCTCTACTTGACAATTTTTAGGGATCTGCAAATCAGAAATGAGTAAGAAGCACTGCATAGGTAGTGTTACTCTAAGGTCTGTCCTGAGCCAAGAAAACTCCTCTGCCTGCCCTGATAGGGGTGTGCCTCTTTAGCTAATGGCATCCATGTGATGCTGCAGTGGCTATGATGGCCAGGTACCCTCCAGCAGCTGGACTGAGTTACATGATGGCCATTGGCCCAAACCTGACTGAGATGCTCAGTTGTTCTCCCACCGCGTCCTTGATTGGAAGTGGTAGTGTGGTACTTAAATCCATCAGAGTGGATTCATACGGTAAGTTGCTTGGAGCTCTGCTGGGTTGTATATAATCTTTCCAGCCAGTCATCTGTAAGAACCAAAAATGAGGTGCAAGGAGGGATTTTACATTATGTTTGAATTTAGACAAACTCTCTGGAATTTCTAAGAATTGAAGTTGTATTTATTTTACTGTGTGGCTAAACTACTGAAAGTAAATTTACCGAAGAATGCCCATTCCTTTTGTAAATATAGTGGGTTTCTTGATTTACAGTAGATGGAGTCAGGTATTCAGAGACACAATGTTTAATAACTAATTAGTTTTATTTTTAAAAATCCTTCAGGAAAGAAAAAATACTACCCACACAAAATTTCATGCTCCAGGTAATCTTTGTTTTCCTTTATAAACTGTATTCTTGTTCAGTGAGTAACCTGTTTTTTCTTACCTCCCAGAAGAAGCAAGATGACCTAGATCTAGAGCTTCCTGGGGAAAAGTTCACTTCACCCTATATATAGCTTCTCCTGAAGTGTATTTATGTAGCTGTCACCTACTCTGAGCTGATAAACTGAGGAGAAAAGAGCTATAGTTTTGGGCTGAGGTAGGAAAGGAGGGTGTTTTATACTTCCTCTTTTTTTTGGGTTTAATAAATACATCTTACGCACATGCCACTAGTTGGATTCCAGCGTGGTGGAGGCCAGACTTCCAGACTCCCAGCTGCCACACACAGAACTTCATGTCTCTGTGTCTCTTCAGTGTGCTGCGGCTGAATAATGACCAATTACCTCTTGGTTAACGAGTGAATTAGATCATGCCTTCGCGCTGGCAGGAGTTTCTGCAGTGGACTCTGAACGTGATATCCTGGGGTCAATGTGTTCTTCGCTCTGGTCGGATCACACAGATGGAGATTCCTCCAAGCAGTGCTGCTGGCGTGGCGGTATTTTTATTGGAAAGCAAAAACTGGGAAAATGGTAGTAACAACTACGGAACAGATGCTACCAAACAGGCTGTTGGTGTTGAGGTATCAGACAAATGTTTCCACCTCAGGGTAACGAGTCAAACAGTGAAGAGTACTGTAGGCTGGGGGAAATTTGTCCATCCCTTTGTCAGCATAAGGCATTTTTTTAAATGTAGGGGAGTTTATCTGAGTCAGTGCGTCAGCAACTTGAGCTATTTGGGCTTCTGCAGCCTTTCTGGGGAGAGAGGAGTACTTTCTGTGTCCCTAAAGAAAGTGCTGCCATCTAACGACACCACATACTCCTCTCCTGGGGTCTTAACCACACCAGGGACGAGTGCCAGTGGAAAGCATTGGTGCCCCTGTGTTGGGGTGTGTACACCTCTTGGCACGTGAGGAAACTGGCATCAGCATTTGTTTAACTTGATTTGAGGCAGGATTCTGCTCCAGCACTTACAAATAATGGCTTTGACAGACACTGCTCAGGAGTGAACTCAGCCAAGGCCAAAGGAGAGGCTTGGGGGCTATCTCTGTGTTCAGAGGACCACGAGCTGAAACCAGGTGAAAATGTCACGTGCCTCGTGATACGTGTCGTGTGTGTCCATGTTTCTGGCGCAAGGAGGTCTGATATAACCATCTGCTGCTGCCAAAAGAGATTGCCTCGCTTTTCCCACTTGCAGCCGTGTGCTCTGCAGTCTCTTCGTGGTGGCTCTGGTGCTTATCTGATCCCTCAGTGAGTCAGCTCATACCCTTCAAGTGTCTGAAATGGGTTCTCTTGCTCTTATTTTCCTCCCGTCAGCTTAGTGAACTGAACTGACTTCCTGGTGGAGATTGGATTTATCTGCACTCTTTGCCATCTATATATTGCATTTTACTTTAGACCTTTCCAGAGATGTCACAGAGGTGTTAGGTATTAGATGTGTGCTGTTACCACCAAGTATTACAGGAGTTTTGGCTTCTCCATGCTGCAATTAAGGATATACTGGGACTTAACTGCATACCAGAGCATGCACAGAATGAATGTCTGATACTGGTTTGGGCAGGGAGTGCATTTGGCAATGGTCTGTATGTGAAGTGCAGTCTAAAGGTGCCATTTCTAACAGTGGGGTGGTGATTTCAGTTGGAGGGATTTTGCTGCTTCAGGACAAATCTCTGATGTAGACAAAGCCTTAGTTCTGTTTTTCTTAAATGTGATCTTTCCGGTTTAAAAAAAACCAACAACAACAAAACATAATAAAATAATATAAATCTGTCTACCGCAACTGCCATTAAAGACGCCTGGATGCTTTTCCTCACTATTTTATTTTTTAAAGATGCTTCATTAATGTTATCTAACAGTTCATAAGTATATTTGGTAAGTACAGGAATGGGTGAAGACTTTCACAGCCTGTTCATGTTGCGCAGCAGACTGTGATATCCCTTGGGACACAACTGACTACAGTAACATCATTCATCTGCATTGTGGGGTACTGTTCTGCCTCTTTCCTCACACAAGCCTTCCAGTTATGACTCCATGGATGGTTTCCAAAGTCTGAACATAACTTGGCAAGCTTTGTCACTGCTGTTAGGAGTTTGATTACCTTTGTGCATATGTATGTGAGGACTGCCAGTGTACGTGGCTTTTAATAAAACAACCTCCCTGTTGTCTAAAACATTTAGATTTAAGAAATTATATAAGTATGCAAGAGCAGAAGCTAAGCTGGCCACCTCAATTTGGCTTTCCTGTTTTATATGTTGTGACTCCTTATTCTAGTTTGGTGTCTGTCAAGAGAGGCTACTAGTTTCCTATTGGAGCCAGCCTTACTTAAAGCAAATTGAGGGACAAAATGCTGTTTCAAGAACTAAACCTGAGAAGCAAATCTTGCTGCTTTTTCATGCATCCGCTTATGCAGTGTTACCCACTCTTGTCATTTCTGTGGTATGCCATGCTCTTGCATAGCTCGAACCCTCTTGCTCAATACCTTTCTGGTTAGTTTTCTGAATTCAGAACCAGTAACACTGAACACGAGCAGTAAATACAATCTTTACAGTTTTTTGGATCTAATGAGCTAAGTTGCATTTTGGCTTAGAGACCTACAAAAAAAGCCCAAAAGCCGCAGGAGATGGGGCTGCCATTACAGTGAGGGACCCCTTTCCTTGTCCGTCACTGGTAAGCAAACAGCCCAGCACATTGTCGGGGCTGTGGGGCACTGCAAAGCTGTAGAAATAGTTTTCTGAATGAGACCGCTTGCTGCCCCTAATGTTTCCTTGGTTTATTTCGCAAAATATGCTGGCCAGGTTTCAGTTCAAATACAGTAACGCATTTCAGCTGGACGGAATATAACTATTTAAATTAGACCAATAGCTATTGCCCTTTCTCCCTTAAAAAGACTTAAGAAACATCAAACTGAAGTAAGATACATCTTTTTTCAGAATCCTTGATGCAGAATGGTTAGCGTGTTCCAGCAATAAAGTGTCTGTATGTCAACATAGGGTGCAGTAATCCCACGTATACGTGTTCACTGATGATCTTACATTTTGCTTGCCACAGGCCAAATCTTTGTCAGTGGTGCAGCTGCCCGGGGCTACTCAAGCAACACAAGTGGGTTTGTAAACCTGGAGATTTCTGTATGTGGTAAAACTTCCAGCTAGCATACTGTCAGCAGGATAAGCTTTATAAATGTCTTTTCTGAGGCCTGCCTTCGCTCCTGCTTCTACTTGTGGGGCGTGCTGCAGGAAACAGGGTTTGGCCAAGAACCCCTGTGCTTTCGCAATAGGTGTTTTCCACCAGTGGGCTATCGAAAACCCAGCAGAGATCGAACCAGAATTGTTAATGCAAAGTGATTTTGTCAAAAAATTTCTTTTCTTATTTTTAAAGCTTTTATTTTGTTAGTGTCTTAAACTTCCAGGTGGATCCGCTCATGACAGTGTCTGCAGACATTTATAATAGCTTCAACAAAACGAGGCTCAGATTTAATGAAGCATTATCGTCTGTATTTTATTTAAATTAGCTTTGAGTTAAATACGACAAGCATTATTGTATGTTGTTACACTGCATCATAGGTTATATTAATTTGGATAACGGCCCTGTTCAGTACAGTGTTGGAAACTGCGTATTAATAAGTGTGTGAATTGGTCTGTTTTCTGGTGTCTGTGAACAAGGGGATATATGGGTAGTTATGCATATGCTCAGTGAAGTTATTTTCTGCAGATAATGTATGATTTTTACAAGATGCTGGTCAAGTGTTGCCCTTACTATTCCTTCAGGGAGCCTCTTTTGATCAATCGAGAAGTAAGGCTCTAGAAGCTATTTCACAGTTCTAGATTATTTATGGCAAGCTTGCACTTCTTATTCTTGTACCAAACAGATCTTTAGTTGTTTTTGTGATGTTTACTCTCCTGATTTATTTAGAGATCAGTCCTATATCCCTTTCAGCCTTTATTTTTCTAGGCTAATGCTTCTGTTTTTATTTTGTTTGTTAGCAGATATGGTATTCAAGCAACTTGGTTTTCCTGAAAAACAAAATCTGTCTTGTCCATAGTCAGTGAAACTAAAAAATAAAAATAAATTTAAAAAAATTATTGCAGTGAATTTTGTCATGGTGACTGATAATGGAAGTCATAGACAATATTTGCTTTAAATCTGCAGAACATGCAGCTCAGAAGTCCAGGGGGCAAGTACCTTTTCATGCGCTGCTAGCCATTATTCCCTCTCACTGGAGTAAACAATTCCATAACATGCTGAAGACCTCACCAGGAATGCAGCGGTACATGAAGTGATACAAAAAAATCAGGACCAGGCCCGTAAGTTACTTCAAGGCTGATTTCTGTACAAAGCTTCAGCGGAGCAAAGAAATTTTCGTTAACCTGATCTGCCAGTCTGAAATTGCTCCACAGGGTACTTGCTTTATGGCTTTGAACAGATTTCATTTGAGGAACATCAGGCTCATTTTTGCTGAAGTTCATGGAGAAAGCCATGCCCAGCCCTTTTCTGCCCCCAAGGAAGCATCTGGAGCTGCCCATCTCCCAAAACGATTGGTTTATTTCTGCTTCTAGTGTCTGATCCAAAACAACAAATGAGAGAACAAAAAATTCTTTGCTGCAGTGATTTCTAACTTACGTCTTTACTGCAGTGGAGATGTGCCTATAGGAAAGGAGGTATCCCAAATAAAGACAGGAATTCAGACTCATCTCCTTGCCTATTTGGTTCAGAGATTACTCAGCAAATCTCTTAGTGCCCCCAGGGAAGCACCTTCACTGACTTCACTTATCCGCAGTGGTGCATAAGGAGACAAAGTGAGTTTAGTCCTGTAAGTCCCGGGACTTGGAGGAGCAGCACTAAATGCTATCCACTTCCCAGGCTACTCTCTGGTGCACCCACTGCCTCAGAGATACCTTTGAGAGGTGTCCTTCCGGGGACTGTATGGTGAGCTAAAAAGTCTAGAAAGATAACTAAAATATATCTGTAGTAATTGAGTGATGATATTTCTGCTTATGGAGTTAAAATCTGAGCAAGAAGCTTCCCATCTTCTTTTTCTCTTCTCTTCAAGCCTATCTAGCTGTTACAGTTAGCTCTGTAGTTATACCCTAATGCCTCCCAAAGTTACAAGGTGTATTTTAGACTAAATGCCATAAATTAAACGTAAAAAAACTCCCAGGGTTTTCTTAATAGCTGTTTTGCTATGGCTGTGTGTATTTTTTTGACTCAATAACGTACTGAATACCTCCAGCTTTACTGTCTCAAAGCTTTCCACCTGTAGCTCAGTGTTACTCCATTTACGGTGTTCTATTGGGACTGCAGTTTGTCTGTGTTTGTATAAACTGGCAAAACTTATTTTAGTGATAGTGTGGGTTGTAGTGGGACATAGTTATTCCACCCTAAACATTAAGGGGGAGAATAAAGTTAGTAAAAGTATTCTTCGTATCTTCATAAAGCCTGAAAGAGTGTCAGTAACATGATGTTAATGCCATTAGGCTTCTCATTTCTGCCTCTGAGGGGCATCAAAAGTAGTACGTACCTCACCTATGGTAGAGTTACGCTTTGGTGCAGGGCCTGAGCAGTTTCCTTCTACCCATGTGTCTAAATC